GTGGTGGAGGTAAAGACAAGCCTAGGAAAGAGCTTAAAACCTTATAATCAGCCATCTGTTTTTATTTCTCTGCCTCTCTTCACACTGGCTTGCAAGTTTTCAGTGGTCCTGTCCTCAACCAGCTGCTGTTAGAAATAATCTTTTTCGTGACAAACCCTCCTAAATAAATCCCCCTGGCAAGAATCCAAAGCTTTTAGAAGATCTCATCCCTTCAACCCACCCTCCTGGATGAGGTGGCAGTGGTCACTGGTGCTGGGAAAACGAGGAGAGGTGATGGTGGGAAGGGTCTGATGCTTTGAGGGTGTCGATGTTTCAATCCCAGTTATTCACTGCAGGTGGGGTCTCATAGGATCTCTCTGCCTGGAGCTGCTGTGACCAGCCCTATGCAACACCCATCCCTCCCAGGTTCCATCAAAATCCTTAATCCAAGACCAAAAATCAAGGCTTATGATTCCTTTTCTTGAACGACATAAAATGATTTGATTATTTAGGAAACGGGCCCCAGAAATCTGTGAAAATTCAGTGTTTTGCTCAAGATCCCAGTGCTCCTAGCAGGGATCCGAATCTCCTCCCTCTCATCTCAGCGTTCCAGCCACAGAATCCTCATTCCTGCGTGGAAAATCAACTGGGAACGAGTGTTTTCAGGCTGCTCTTTGCACATCCCTGCACAGGGGAATCCCTTGGAGAAGCACCTGAGCCGTGCACATGGAGTGAGTTCAAGGAAATAACAATGTTATAACCAAGGAGCTGTTCCTGCTTTGCTCCACAAAACCAAGGTCTTGTGCCCTGGGATCCACCCCAGCCCAGCTGCAGCTCCTGACTGTGCTCACTCTGCTCCCTCCGAGCAGAGGATAAAAATAACAGCAAACCTCCCACTCACTTTTGGGAGCCAAGCCCTGCTCGTCATCCCGAGTCTTCCAGCCCTTGGAGAGGGAGGAGCGTGGAGGAGCCCAGTTTGCCCCAGGCTCTCAGCTCCTGGGTTGGATTCCTGGTGGGAAACCAGCCTTGGAAGCGCTGAAACTCTGCCCCTGACTCACGTGGCTGCCAGTGGGGAAAGGGTTAAAAGGCACCTGTGCCTTGCTTTAAAAATTAAATC